CTTCGTCTGCGTTACGTGGCCACTCGGGCCAACACTGCTGATATATTCACCAAGGCACTTCAGGCTGGTGATCATCAGCGTTTCTGCACTATGCTGGGGCTTGTGCCCACTTCTCCTCACTTGCTGTAGGCTTTGCTTGTACTGTGATCTATATATATATACCTGCATGTTTGCATTGCTAGGTAGAGATCACTGTACTGTTCTTGCTGCATATATACCTCTGCATGCGGACTGGCCTTGTGGCCCTTTGCTTGTGCTCAGAGTGTGTGGTGACGTTGTGGTCCACCCTTAGCTTGCTTTGCGTTTCTTGACTGGTCTTGTGACCTCTTGCTCTCCCCCACTTTGCCTATGGGGGTGTGTCAAACATATATATGTTATATGTTGCAGTTATTGGTAGGCTGTAGTGGGGTAGATTCTGTGGGGTATAACCCCTTAGGGTTTTCCTACTTGTAGAACTCTCTCGATAGTTGAACTCATCCTTCTCATTCTAACAAAAACCACCTGTGAGGTCCCGATCTTCTTCCAGGTTGGCAAGGTACGTCGGAAGTGTGAGTCGCTCGTAGAAAATGACATCACGTGCTGCTATTGTTTCCTTTGAGTGGACGTCGAAAATCTTCCACGCGTTGTAATTCTTTTCAATGCCTAGGTGTAGGCCCCACTGTGCGCGTTGGGAGAATCGGCCGGCTCGTGCAGCTGGAGGTCGGTACTGTACCATGCAGCCAAAAACTCTCAACATTTTTGTGCTGCCCTGTTTTCCTGTCCACGGCAGGTGCGGTGATGCATTGTTCGGGAGCGATGATGACGAGAGCAAGTTGTGCAGCATGACAGCGTGGTCCATAGCTTCAGGCCATTGGTGGTTGGGTAGCCGCATGCCACGTAGCAGCTTGCGCATGGTGTTCTGGAGAGTCCTGTTCATCCTTTTTGCTACGCCTTGCTGTTGGTGGGTGTAGGGAAGAGAGATGAGTGAGTCGCTTGATGCCTTTCTCCGCCAAGTATTGCTTGAACCTCTGTGGGGTGTATTCTCCCCCCCCCCCCCCGTCAGACTGGAAACTCTTTAGCTTAACTCCTGATTCCCGTTCTACTACTGGGAGCCAGGCAACGAAGGCTTCGAAGGCCATATCGCGGCTTGGAAGATTGAGGTGCCAGACATAGCGAGTGGCGGTGTCGATGAACGTGATGGTGTAGCTGTATGCTCCTTGTCCACGTTCGCGATTGTACAGGATGTCGCTGTACACTTTCTCCACAGGCGCGTAAGTTGGAGCACTAGGATTGTGGTGAGATACAAACGGCCGATGCGGTAAGTCGCCTTCGGGGCAGGTAAAGCATGTTCCGCGGGCTCGTCGAAGTTCGCTTCCGTCGGTTAGAAGCTGTGAGTCTTTGTCGAGCATGCCTACTCTGATTGTGTTATTTAACACCGTGTTGCTTCGATGTCCCATTCGTGCATGCCAGATATCTTCGCCGGCGCGATGTCCAGGTGAGCGCCTATACACGTCGGCGTTTGAGTAGAAGCCGGCGGTGAAGTTGGCGCTTTGGTGAACTTCTCGTTGAACAGGAGCCAGTTGTTGCGCAGGTGTCAGAGGAGTGTCGTCGATGAAGACCGGTGCCGTTGAGGGGCCAGCGAGTGGTGATGGTGTTGTCTCTGCTGCTGCCGTTGTTGTCTCTGTTGCTGCCGTTGTTATTTCTGCTGCTGCCGGTGTTGTCTCTGCTGCTGCCGGTGTTGTTTCTGTTGCTGCCGTTGTTGTTTCTGCTGCTGCCGGTGTTGTCTCTGCTGCTGCCGGTGTTGTCTGTGCTGCTGTCGGTATTGTTTCTGCTGCTGCCGTGTGTTGAATCGTTGCTCATGCTCTTGTTCGTTCTGCCTCAGGTAAAGTGTGCGAATGCCAGAAGCCGCTAGGACTGAAGTCGGGATCAAGATCCGGCGGGTGTGTCCAAGAGGTAAAGTTGACGATGGCATCGCTGTCGGCGGTGCCTAAGTCCGGAACGAAGTCGAGGACGAAGACGTTTTTCTTCAACACCGCCTTCCCGATGTAGAGTCTGCCTCTCTCGTGGTATAGCTTGAATTCTTGGGTGGTGCTGTCTGCTTCGAGGTGAATGCCTTTCGCCATCAGCTGACTGACATTGAGTAAGTTGTAGCCGAGTCCCTCCACAGTTAAAACTTTTGACATCTACAGTATAACGTTCGTCTCCCGTGACTGAAGTTGAACTACGCCTTGTCGTCTTGTGTGCAGGTTTTGGTTGTTGGCGACGGTGATGACAAATTCGCGTTGGAGTTGATGTTTTCGCTGGACGAAACGACCCGAGAAACACATGTGTTGTCCGCAGCAACTATCCAAGAACCAGGTATCTTTCCCGGACGGTTCACTTTGGGCGATGGCTACCTATGTCGGGTTCGGCTGAAGTGATTCACGGCGAGGAGTGATGTTATCGAGTTGCTCTTCCAGTGAGTAATGCGGTGGTGATTCGGTGATGCATGAATCAGTTAATTTTGTCATGCAGCTGACGATGTTTCTTGCTCCTTGTGCAGATTGCGTTGTTGATGTCGTTGAGGACTGCAGTTGACTCGTGGGGTGCGCCTGTGTGGACACCACTTCACTACTTGAGGGACGAAGTTGGCGTTGCGGCGGAGTTGACTGCTGTCGATTCGGGCAGTGTGTGCGAGGGTGCCCTGATGCCTTGCAAATGTGACAGAATGGAGGTACAGGTTTTGGTTGGTGCCGGTTGTTGTTGTTGTTGTTGTTGTAGCGCCGTTGAGTGTGGAATGCAAATTCGGGTACTGACGTTTTCTTCTTGTGCCGCTCCTCTTGCAGGTCCATGTCTTGCTGCTCAGCGTGAATCTCAGCGCCAAGTGCTGCTTCAGAGATTTTCCCGTGGGCTCGGAGGATGGCTCGGGTGGAGCCCTATTGAGGACCGAGGCTGCCGATGATGATTGTCACGAAGGCGTCTTCGGATATTGAGCCTCCGCATCGAAGAAATTTGTCGCGCAATTCGCGACAACGGCTGATATACCCCATTCCCTTTTCGCCAGGCTTCATTTCCACTGTTGTCAGCTGTGCCATTAATCGACTCTGATTGACGCTGTCTGTTGCTTAATACAGGTTCTTCAAGTGATTGTACGCAAGCTCGGCGGAGTTGCCGTATCCCCGATAGGACCGGATGTTCTGCTGCTGGTTCGATGTGATGTTGCGTAGTAGAATTGTGTACGCCATCATGGACCGATATGTGTACTGCTGCTTGTCATATTGCATCCCGTGTGTTGGGTATGGCAGAGACCCGTCGAAGAATCCAAGGATTTGCGCACCTTCCATCATCAGCTCGAACTCGAATGACCAGGTAAAGAAATCTTTACCGTCGAGTGGCCTTGACGTTTGCAGTTTTAGGACGTGTGCAAACTGCGACTGAACTTGAAGTGCATCCAGTGTCTTACGGGGTTCGTACGGGGCGAAGGTAGGCTGCTGTTGCTGATTTCCTCGCGCGTAGGATGAACCGTCGAGGCTCATCGGTGTCACATCGTTGTTGTTGTTGTTGCTGATGTTTGACTGCGCAGGTGCCCCTTGCTGGTGTTGTTCGTAGAAGGACATGAAGGGGAAGAACTTCTCCATCATGCTTGGGTCGAAGCCCGCGGCTTGATTTGCGGGAATTTCAGTGGACCCAGCTGCTGGTCTTGTTGCCGTGCCCTCCTCTGTCTGTAGGCCAGAGGCACGAGGTGGGGTAGGAGTAGTGCCGGGAGAACCATTAGAGGAACTTCTCTCCTTTTGTGTTGCCATGCCTTCTGTCGTGGGTGTCTTGATAGTGGTTGAGTTTGCCCTGATAGCTCTCATACCATGTTGGGCTGAGAAAGCTCTTATGATCTTTGGAGGACTAAACTCTGAGTAGGAAGTTGTAATAGCGGAAGCATTTAATTATAAGTTCTTGAACCACCTTGCACTGGTATGTGAGGGCAAAGTAGATTGATTAAAGCAAGGGAATACAGGGTTTTTATAAATGTACAAGGAATACGAAGAGATACGGTACAACTAACAACTGTTTTACTGTTGCTGTCGGTTCGATACAGTGCCGACTCGGGCAACTGCTCAGTAACGAGTCAGTTGTTTGTCCTTGCTGTCGCGCTGTATTTGTCAGGTCGAAGGTCGCTGACCTTTGACTTTCGCATAACCTCCAGCGGTTGCTTTTCTTCTCAACCTCTGTTGGGCTGAGAATTTCAGCCTTAGGATCTTTGCAGAGAATAGGCTAGTAAGTGCTAGAGTAGCACAGCGGAAGTCTTGAGTGAATGTACTTGTGCTGGTATGTGAGAACAAGTAATTGATTAAAGCAAAGGGCATACAGGAATATATAGAAAGGATAGATTACAAGGAACGGTTATGTTTATCGAGACGCGTAACGCTTCGACTATCGAGGTGGTTACTGTTCACTGAAGCGTCGCTTGCTGTTACGTAACCTCCAGGCGGTTACAGCTCGCAACCTCTAGTTGCGGTTTGATGTGGTACGCGCCTTTTCGACTTCGTACTCCTTTTGTTGTGCTTCAGTATCGGGTGAGGTTCGATACTACAGAAACGCACTAAGTCATGCGTTTATTTTCCCAACAACCTCCAAGCGTTGACTCGCCGATGCTTCGTTGTGCTTCGCCTCGTTTATGATTTAGTGTTTCGACACACAACAGAAGCGCTTAAATTACTTGTTTCCAACAAAACCCTCTTCCTTTCATTCCTGTTTTACCTAGCTGCTTTGACACGACACGATGTACCGTATGTGCATTTTGGCACGTTGGCTTATTGTTCAACAAAAGTATTTGTCCTTCACTGGGGGAAGCTGAACAATCAGCCTGCCTTAGAAGAATAGTATCGCACGTATGAATATACACCTCAAATCTACAGCACATCTATACACCTACTTCCAACTCGTGCAGTTCAGTGCCGCTCATCACAGCATAGACCCCCTGCCCCTCTACTCACCTACCATGCTCCAAACACCCTTACCAGTATCCCCACTGATTACCCTTCCCTCCCCTACCTACCCGTCGCCCTCTTCTCTTCTTTCCCTCCTGGCTCCCCGTGCTCACTCTCGCCCTCATCCCACTCCGCTGCTCCGGCCCCTAGAACCCACACACTCCCTCCTTTGTCCTCCTTCTCACCCTGCTTCTGTCTCCTCTCCTGCCCCAGCCCTACCATTGCCACTGCAGCTGTTGCTGCTGCCGCAGCTGCATCCACCCTCCCTATCATCCTCTCCTCTTCCCTCCCTTTCACCTCTTCCCTCTCTTCCCCCTCTTCCTCCTCTTCCTCATCCTCTTCACTTTCACCCTCTCTCACATCCTCCCACTCCCCATCATCCCCCTCCTGTCCCTGCTCCTCCTCCTCTTCCCCTAACTCCGATTCATCTCTCCTCCTTTCCTCTTCCTCCTCACTCTCATCTTCCTCCTCTTCTTCATACTCTTCCTCCTCCCACTCCTCATTTCCACCACGCCCCACCTCTCCAACTCCCCTCGCTCCCCATGCCGCTCCTCCCCCCTCTCCCACAGCCCCCCCTTCATGTCCCATCGCAGAACCACCCCTCCCAGCAGCCGCAACTGCTGCCACGACCCCCGATCGATACGCAGCGTCAGCAGCAGCATGCGACGCACTGACTGCCTCTGCCACGCCCCACCTGCCCATCCCCCCTGCCACTGGGTCCCCACCAAGGCCACCTAATGACACTGCTGGCGCTGCAGGCACTGTCGGCACTGCTGCCACAGATTGTCCCCCCGCTCGTCCCACTCCCACCCGCCTCTGCCTCAAACCAACCCTCCACGCCTCCCCTTCTCCCCGGACCTCCTCGTCCTCCTCTTCCTCATCCTCCTGCCCATCCCCTTGTGCCACAGCCTGTCGGCCCCGGTCCTGCAGCAGCTGCTTCCCTGCTGCCAGCAGCGACTCTATCTCCTCGTCACTCCCCCCCTCCTCCCCGCCTTCACCCACTCCCGCACCCACGCCCCCTCCCACCCCAACTCCCGCCCCCCCTCCCTCCGCCCCCTCCCTGCCCACATCCCCAAGGGGGCGACCAAGAGGTGCGGCGGCAGCAGGCGCAAGGCCAATAGGGGGATACCGAGGAGCGTGCAAGGAGGCAGCAGCGACAGCAGGGGCAGCAGAAACAGGGGTAGTAGGGCCGACGCCAAGGCTGCTGCTGCTGCTGCTGCTGCTACCTTCCCCCATCCACGCCCTGACTCTCCCTGTAATCGCCCCTTCATCTCTCAAAAGATCCATGCCCCCACCGTCCCCCTCGGCCCCCTCGACCGCCTTGCCCTTCCCCCTGCCCCTCTCCCCTCCCCCCTGCATGAACACCGGCCTTAGCACCTCCTCGGACACCTCCTCTGCCGAAATCCGGCCATAGGGAGCAGCAGCAGGAGCACCAAGAAGAGAAGACGGAGCAGCAGGGGCAGCAAGCGGAGCTGAGGGGGGGGCAGAGAGCAAGACGTCATAGGCACCGCTACCGCTGATGCCTCTTCCCTCTCTTTCCCCTCTCTCCTCTCTCCCCGCAACCTCGCCCATGCTCCCCATCCTTCCATATCTCCCAATGCTCCCCCCGCCCCTCCCGTCGTCCCTCTCCTTGCTACCGCCCTGCCACAGCAGCCGTATCATCACGCCACCGCAGCACACCAGCAGCACCATGGCCTGCATACCGAATATCCCTGCGGCACACATAGTAAACAGCATCACCCGCCACGCCAGCAGCCACAGCCCCCCCGCGCCCCCCAGAACCGCGCGCAGGCGCAGCTCCGCGTCGTAGATCTGCGGAAGCCCCGCGCCTGGCCCCGCGCCCGCCTTCGGCGCAAGCATCACGCGCACCGCCGCCACGGGCGTTTTCCCCTCGAGTCCGCGCAGCACGCGCAGCTCGATCCGCTGCGCCTCCTCGCGGAAACCCCAGAGGAGCGGGAACGCGAGCACCGCCGTGCGCAGCGCGCGGATCGGACGACTGCTGAAGCGGAGAGTGGCGGGCTGGGAGTTGGCGGAGAGGACGGCGTAATCGGCGGAAAGCGCGTGCGCGGAGATCTGGAACATGCCGAGCGCGAGATTGTGGTCTGACTCGGGGAGGCGCAGGCGGAGAACCGCCTCGTAGCGCTGGTTGCGCTGCAGCAAGCGCGGGGGAGCCGCGGAGAAAAACCGCCCTGCTGACGCGGAAGTGGAAGCGGAGGAGGCGGCGGAAGACGAGGCGGGGGGCTGCGGCGGGGGCGGGAGGAGGGTGTGCGGGGGCGGAAGGAAAGATGCGACGGCGAAAGGCTCAGGCTGGCGAAAATCGAAGAGGAGCGGGCGGGTCTGGTCGAACGGCGTGGGCGCGAGCCGCCAAACGAGGAGCGTGGCGAGCGGGAGCGACGTGCAGACAAGCGCGGCGAAGAGCGACGCCGCCAGACACGACGCGCAGATGCCGCGCCCGACGTTCCGCGCAAGGCTCATGGAGGAGGACGAGGCCGAGGCGGAAGAGGGGGAGCGGGGGAAGTAGGCAGAGGGGGAGGACGGGGGACGGTGGTGGGACGGCATGCGCAGAGGTGCGGAGGAGTACGGTTCGCCGGAAGAGGGGGGGAAGCGCGCGGAGGAAGGTGGGAGGGCGGGGTAGGAGATGGTGGAAGAGGCAGCGGAGGCCGGGGGAGCGGAGGCGGTGATGGGTGGCGCTGAGGGGTAGAGAGGCGCGGCGGATGCCCCTAACGAGCGCGACGACTGGTGCGATGCGGCGGGATTCATGGTCGGCTGTCTGTCAAAACACCCCAAAAAAAATCAAAGGCAGAGACAAGAAGGGCGGACGGGGAGGCGGCGGAACGGAGGGGCGGGGGGAGGGGAGGAGAGGGGGAAAGTCCGAAGGGGAGGGAAGTGGGTTAACTGATGCAAAGGAAGGAGGAGTGCGGTTGAGGCCATCCACACTGGTGGTGGCGGCAGGGAGCAATCGAAGAGGTGTGAGAAACGAGAGGAGAGACAGGCTTGTGAAGTAGACTCCGACATAGACTCCGACATCAGCGGAGCCCGAAGAAGTAGCTCCGAAATCAGCGAGCCTTACTAGTCTGACGAGTACCTGCGAGCCCGACGAGGTGAGGTAGCGCGAGAGGGACGTCTGCACCAACCTTATTGTCGCGGGAAGAGAGAAGAGGGGCGCGTGGAGGGGGCGTCGCACCCTGTGCGTTGACGCGAAGAGTTCGGTACCCCTACGAAGGAGGCGATTCAAGAAACCATGTTGGCCGGAAAGGAGATGGACAGCAAGGTGGTTCTAACGGCTCGGCGAGAAGGACTGGTGCAGGGAAGACGAGAGGAGAGGAGAGGGGAAAAAAGGTGAGGAAAGGAACAAACTCGTTGACCACGAAGGTGCGCGGTTGAAACTGGCTCGACGATCAGCAATGGTGGAGTGATCTGCAAGTAATAGAGCGAGAGGAAACACGTCCTCGAAGAAACCAGTTCAAGATCAGCCAAGGCGAAGCGATCGCTTTGGTTTACAAGCATAACCAGAAATCGTAAGTCTGGATACAGCTGAATGCAAGACTTGTGAAAGAGCTGTTTGCGAAACCCGATTCCAGAACGAAAACAAGTTGACCTGGTATCACATTCCGTTCAGAGCAATCATCGTCCTTCGCGGATTCCTTTCGAGAGTTTCGGCGAGGTGTTGGGAGTGATGGGTGTCGTGCGACGGATGACATGCCGAAGTCCTGGGCGAACAAGGGGCGCTCCACCAATCAACCGTTTGCATGCTCCGAGAGGGTTTGGTTTCGCAGACAAGATTTGACATTGTAATGTGGGAAAATATGTCACAGGTAACCATCATGTGACCCTATAACGTCAATGGTAAAAATAAAAAGCGTACGGTAACTGTATCGAGTATCCTGACGGGCTTGGTAAGCGGGGTCACGGAATCAGACACTAGCAACAGCTAAAGAATCACACGAATGGTAAAACATGAAACCCCCGCCAGAAATTCCTGAAACCAGGGCGATTTCCCGCTCGCGCCAATCGTGCAGAGAGGTTTGATGCACGCTTGTACCGTCGAGCCTCCAGCCTACCGTAACCACACCACGACCCGACGTGCTGTACACCCCCCTGCCCGCTACGGTTCCAACCAAGTACAGAACCTTGACCCCATCGCAGCTCTCCAACTTACTTCCCGCCATCAGCTATTCCTCACGCTAATACTAGTACCTATAGCTTTCGCCAGCGGGCTTCCCGTTCACGCATCCAAGGCGTTCGATAGCAGCACCTGACGTCTATCAACGGTGCGTGCCTTAGCCCTAAATCCTTTCCCCATCCATTCACGTTTATGAGAAAATGAACGAGAATGTTTTGACTAAGGGAAAGTTGGGTACAAGTACAAACCCTAGAAAGCTGTACCCCATATGTGTTACCCCACTATAGCCTACAGTAGCTATGTCATATAAATCTGACACACCCCCATAGGCAAAGTGGGGGAGAACAAGGGGTCACAAGACCAGTCAAGCAAAGCAAAGCAAGCTCAGGGTGGATCACAAAGTCACCATACATTCTGACCACAAGTTCAAGGCCACAAGGCCAGTTCACATGCAGGATTACATATATATATAAGGCTAGACAAGCAAGAGGAGGTGTATATATATATATGCAACAGTACAAACAAGGTCAAGGAGTGAGCAAGTGAGGCAAGGTAGGCACAAGACCCAGCTGAGTACAGAAGCGCTGATGATCACAAGGCGCAAGTGCCTTGGTGAAGATATCAGCAGTGTTGGCCTCAGAGGCCACGTACGCAAGGCGCAGCTGACCACGCTGCTGTAGCTCACGAGCAAGGAAATAGCGGAGAGCAATGTGCTTCGTTCAGTGCTCCAGTCTCTGCTCTCGACACAAGGCCAGCATGGCCTTGTTGTCTACGTACAGCACTGGAGGAGAACGAGGCGGCTCTCCGAGGTCAGTCAGCAGGTAGGTGAGCCAACGAAGCTCCTGTGCAGCCATGGCCCCGGCGTAGATCTCAGCCTCACAACTGGAGCCGAGAACAGAAGACGAGCGGGTAGCCCGCCACGAAACAGAGCCGGAACCAAGGCTGAAGGTGTAACCCTGTGACGACCGCTGCGTAGCCTGGTCGTCAGCCCAAGAAGCGTCTGCGTGCCCAGTGAGGACCACTGGACTCTGCCCTCCAAGCACAAGCCCCATGCCCGACGTACTGCACAAGTAGCGCAACACCCTCTTCGCTGCAGCCATGTGCTCCGGTCTGTGTCTCCCAGGAGCAACATAGCGTGCGAGAATGCTAAGAGGGTATGCAAGGTCAGGTCGTGTGCAGGTCATCAGGTACATGAGGCAGCCAACAAGCTCTGGGTACGGGCCACTCGACTCTACGGACTCATCCGAAGGCAGAGCTGAGAGCGAGTGGCGAGTAGGCAGAGGAGTGGCCTGAGGCGAGGAGTACGTGAAGCCGAAGCGCTGAAGGACCTGCTGCACCATGTGTGACTGAGTAAGGGTAATGGTGCGGCGTGCTCTGTCCCGGGTGATCTGCAAGCCAAGGTAGCTGCGCAGTTCACCCAGGTCTGTGCACGTGTGTCTCTTCTGCAGCTCGGACTTCATGTCGGCGAGTCCAGCAGTGTCAGCAGTGGCAAAGACCCAGTCGTCGACGTACACGAGGATGTAGAACGGCGGCAAAGAAGAGTCGGTGCGCAGAAACAGCGACGGGTCGGCAGTAGAGGGAGCAAACCCAAGAGCCGCAAGTGTAGTCCTCAGTGTGTCGTGCCACTCACACGGTGCCTGGCGGAGACCAAAGACTGGCCGCCGGAGGCTCCATTGGGTGCCAGGAGGAAAAGACCCAGTGAAGCCAGGTAGGCGACGCAGCCAGATCTCCTCGTGCAGGCTGCCCTGCAAGAAAGCAGTGCTGAAGTCAAGAGAGTGCAGCTCGTAGTCGCGGTGAGCAGCTATGTGCAGCAGTACCCGAAGAGTGGTCATCTTCGGGGTGGGAGAGAAGGTCTGAAAGTAGTCAACTCCCTGCCGCTGACTGAAGCCACGAGCAACGTAACGCGCCTTGAAGACAGGCGGAGAACCCGGCGGCCGCTTCACCCTGAAAATCCACATGCCACTGACGATGTTCGCCCCAGGCGGGGGAACTTCGTCAACGTAGGTGCCTGTGGACTTCCAAGAAGCCATCTCTGTGTCCATAGCTGCCTGCCACTGAGAGGAGTAGGGACCCTCTATCGCCTCCGCGTAAGAGCGCGGAGTCGGGATGTCAAGTGCATCCGGGTCTCCCTCAGGGGTAAGGAGTACGGACACGAGATGAGGTGAAGCAGCAGCCAAACACTGGAACTCCTCCTGTCCGTCCTCAAGGACGTCGGTTCCAAGGGCACACTCACACCCGACGGACGGAGGACAGACAGACTCAGACTCAGCGACAAGACTAGCAGCGTAGTCTAGACGACAGCGAGCAGCAAAGTCGACGAGCTCAGCAACTAGGGCAGACGCAGCAGTGGACTCAAAGGAAAGGTTAGTGACGATAGAAGCAAGGAGACGCGTGATAGTAGGACTGGCAGCACGAAGAGAGTCCGACTCCGGGTCGGCAAGAGCAGGAAGAGAGGACTAGGGAGGAGAAGGCAAAGGGGCACGCAGAGGAGCAGTGGACGGACGCAAAGACATCCGGTGCGTGCCAGGGACAGGAGGAGGACGCTGACGCGGACCTCGACCACTAGTGCGAGCAGGACGGACAGGCGACGCAGGGCGAGACGCAGGCTCACGACGCTCAGCAAGACCTCCAGTAGGACCAGTGTAGGGAGAAGGAGCAGGCAGTGGGGAGGCCGGCTGTAACTGTAACTGTGACGGGACAGGCTGTGGACACTCTAAGGGAGGAGGAGGACCAGTAGAAAGCGGGAGACCAAGAATCTGCTGAAGGAGCGGAACCAAGTACGGCCGAGGCCGCGCGGCGACTCCAGACACAGCAAAGATAGCACCAGTACCCCCAGCGGCAGCACCAGCGCCAGCAGCACCTCCAGCTCCAGTACCTCCAGCAGCACCAGTAGCACCCCCAGCAGGACCGCCTCCAAGACTGACAGCAGTAGCCTCAGCGCCAACACCCTCAGCAGCTCCAGCTCCAGTCGTACCCGCAGGCCTAGCAGCTCCAGTACTCCTAGTACGAGCACCTCCGGGACCCGCGGCTCCAGCACCCTCAGCATTCGAAGAACCTCCAGCTCCAGCAGCACGCCTCCAGCGCCGGGCAAACCACTCGCGCAGCTCCTGTGGAGAGAGTGGCTCCCGCCGAGACGAAGCACCCGGAGAACCTCCAGGCCCAGCACCGCTAGACGCCACACGAGCAGGCCCAGCTCCCTCAGGCTCCGCACCCCCAGGCTCAGCACCTCCACGCGTAGCACCCCCAGGCTCAGCACCCCCAGGCGTAGCACCCCCAGGCTCAGCACCCCCAAGCTCAGCACCCCCAGTGGTAGCACCCCCAGGCTTAGCACCCCCAGGCTCAGCACCCCTAGTAGTAGCACCCTCAGGCTCAGCACCCCCAGGCGTAGCACCCACACGCCCAGTGGTAGCACCCCCAGAGTCAGCACCCCCAGGCTCAGCACCCTCAGCAGCACCAGAGTCACCAGTAACCTCGACAGGCTCGACAACGTCTACCTGGGACACACCTGAAGGGGCAGGACCCTGAGGGGGGGAGGGGTCTACCGGGGGGGGACCTGGCACAAGGAAGAGCTGTGGCGGGGGGAGGGACGGAGTGCGGTAGGGGAAGAGGCGGTAGTAGGGGACCGACTCATCAAACGTGACGTCCTGGGAGGACAGAACACGGCGAGAGGTGGGGTGGTAGAACTGCCACCCTGGCGCGTCAGGGGGGAAGCCAAGGAAGACGCAAGGAGCAGCACGAGGGGACAGCTTGTCCGCAGACAAGTCGCGGACAAACGCCTGAGATCCCCAGACACGGAACGCAGACGCATCGCCAACCTTCCCCGTCCACAGCAAAGCTGGGGAGGTCTCCGGCATGGAGACCCTGGGCTGAAGGTTGATCTGATGCGCCGCGTACCGAACCGCAAACGACCACAGAAAATGGGGGGCAGCCGCATGCATCATGGACGTACGGGCGACGTCCATGACCATGCCAATGCGGCGCTCAGCAATCCCATTTTGCTGTGGAGAGTCCGGAAGCGTGAAGGTCTGGCGGATGCCTAGTGCACGACAGTAGGCTCGCAGAAGGCCAAAGGAGAACTCTCCGCCTCTGTCAGAGTGCAGACGCAGAACAGGAAAGTCCGAGCCGAAGCTCTGCCTGAGCTGGAGACGAGCTGCGCGGATCCAGTCGATCAACACCTCAGTGACATCACCCTTGCTGCGCAAGGGGAAGACTGTGGTCTAACGCGAGTAGTCGTCAACCACCAGCAGGAAGTAGCGCTCGTGACCCTGTCCACGGACGCGGGCCGGGCCCCACACGTCCATGTGAAGCGTCTGCAGCGGGGCCGCTGTCGGAGGAAACTGGGAGGAGTGAGGGGCAGCCCGCTGCCGCCCCTCGACACAGGGGACGCAGGTAGGGCCAGGCCCCGGAGGAAGGGGAGGGAGGGCTCGGGGAAGACCATGCACAAGGACACGGGAGGCCATGCCTCGGAGACGAAGCAGGGAGGGGTGACCAAGGCGGTGGTGCCA